TTGGCTGGATTTTTTGTCGCCGGCTTGAAGAACTTCTCTTGCCTCTATCAGGGACTTTGCGATGCCCCTGGGGTCAGCAAAACGTATTCTTCCTGTTCACTGTCTCTTCGGGACAGTTTAGGTCCGATTGGACCACCCAGCAGCAAAAGTATTGGCTGCAGTCTCAGAGCATTGAGACCGCACGTCCATATCGTCGCGACATTTCTTGAACTGCTTCACTTTATTGGTTTAGTGTGATTGCTAAAGGTTTTACAGGAAGAATACCCTGTTCTATGTTCATCCTGTAATCTTATTACATTTTATGCTAAATACCTTCCTGCTGGTGTACCATTTGCAGGTAGGATAATTAAGATTCAAAGGCCCTTTATTTAATTTTGCATTTCTAGTGCCAGGATGTTCTAAACCACTGACTTATTTTCTAGCACATTCCCTTTGGGTTTTTTTCCTTCTCTTTCTGTGTAATCTCTACATTTTACTAGCACCTGTGGAGAAAACTATTGTTTTCAGTACTAATAAGTAACACAGTATCACTTAAAACACTACCTGTTGCTGTGATGTCAGTTCATTTCAAGGTCATGCTGGTGAGCTCTTTAAAAATCTTTTAATTAATTTATTTACTTGAATGGAAAGAGGAAAAAATGCAAAGCAATAACAAAATGTGTGAGGGGTTTATGTGTGTTTTATCATTCATAAGTTGCAAGTAATATCAGATTTTAAATCCACTGAGTAATTAGTATAATACATTTATATTGCTATATTAAAGGACATGTCTCCTAGATATGGGGGGTCCATTTCATTGCCCAGCTATCAATTTGCATATAACAAGGATGTAATTGAAACATCCAAAATATTACATCCTATTCAAATTTCATATTGTAGGACATCACAAAAACATGTTTTAATAAAACAGTATTCTCTTTATATCTCTAGCACCATTATTTATTAGATTTATTTAATTAGGTTTACATGAAACCTCCTCCTATTTTTCCCCATAATGACAAACCTGTGAGGTAGGTTGGATTGAGAACATTTGACTGGGCCACAGTCACCCAGTGAACATCTGGAGTAGGTGGACTGGAAACTTGGTCTCCCTGCTGCTAATCAACACCTAATCATTACCTCACACTGATCCGAAAAATGTATCTTGTTTCTTTTCAATAGAGGTAATAAGGGCCCAAAAAGTCCAAAATATTGTTTCTTAAAAAGCTGTAATTTAATAATGTTTTAATACAATATTTAGATGAAATGGAGATCTATTCCCCTTGTGCCATCCAGTCCTTAATATGAGTGTGTCAAATTGCTTTATAATTAACAATTATTATAAACAAAAATTACCAGCCTTTTGGGTCCCATAAGATTTAACTATTACTTACAATAACTTAGAAAAATGGCCTGAAAATGGCCATGTTTAAACTGAAATGTCAATAGATATTGCCAGTATATCAATTTAACATAGGACATTGAGAGAGAAAGCCATCGGAGTTACTTTAGGCCAGCCATATTCTCTCTCAGCCCACAACATGAGGTTCGGGTAATAAGCCTGTGACAGTTAATTCCTGCACAACAATGGATCAACGCTCGACTGAACCCAAAAAGTGGACCCTGCACTTGAGGGGAAAGGAAACAAAATTGTACAACACCCCCCACCATTAGTATCCAATAAATAACCTAAACATCTCATTCATCTAAACATCCATCAAAATAGTTTGCGTTATTTTCTTATATTCCATCCTCACATGGGAAGGATTGGCAAAATGTAATTTAGTTGGTTACATTTGCTGGGTAATTAGGGCAGTTATTTATTCCTAATAGTTTCTTTTCATTGCTCAATTTCTGGTCAAAGTGTCCTAAATAGCCAAATGAAAAGAAAAATAAGTGATTAAAATCAGCAGAGCTTTTTCTGCTGCAAATACTGTAATTTTTTTATTTACTGAATATGAGAATAAAAACTTTTCCCTGCTTCTTTCTTCAAATTATGGAATGCTTATTTTTTTTTACACTCCTTAGTTGATTCTTGCCAGCTGATTCTTTAAATTTCTAAAGAATCTCCTATGAAAATAATTCTTAACTAATTGACATGTTAATAGTCAATTGTAGTCAAAAGTAATTGACATGTTAAAACACATTCAACTGTGCTAGTTTCTGTACCTGAGGAATGGATATTTCTCAGCCTGTATACATTATCATTTAGAATTTTTGGAGAGTCTGATTCTTCATTCTTCATTTGTCATAATACGAAGATGCTATAGCCATGAGGAAATAAATGATCACCATCAGAATGAAAATTAAAAATATGCATGGAGATGCTTCAAATTTTCTGGTTGGGTCTGTTCCATTCCAGGTATCAATCAAAATGTGACTGTTCCAAGCAAGAGTGGTTCAGGGAGAAGTTGGAAAAGGCCAGAACTGAGGAGTTTACTTGGCCATGTCAATCAGGGACCTGAGTGGTGGCAGCAACAGCTGAGGAGAGGGAGCAAGGCAGAATGGGAAAAGAACAGAGGTGTCAAACTCAAAGGCCGGATTGCAGCCCGTGGGTGCTTAAATCAGGCCTGCGGGGCCAACCTGGAAATACCGAAGGATCAGCCCACAGTACCTCTGGCAGCTAAAACGGGCTGCATGCATACGCACACCCCTAATTTTCACCCTCCATGGCCTCCTGCAGCACTCTGCTGGCCGAAAACACCCGGCAAAGTGCTGCAGAAGGCCATGGAGGGTGAAAATGAGGCGCAAGGGGTCATGCATGGATCCCCCGCACCCTGTTTTGGCTGCTAGGTGCTGCAGAAGGCATCCAGCCCCACCGCTGGCCTACAGAGGAGAACTACAATGCTGATCCGGCCCTCGAAGAAATTCAGTTTTAACATCCCTGCAGTAGAAGATTGAGGAGGGGGGAGAGGGACATTAGGGATGTGCTACAGCAGCTGAGGGAAAAGAGAAATACACTGGGAAGTTAGCAGTAAGTGGCTTGTGGGCATACTATATTAGAGCATTGGGCAGTGGCAGCAGCACCCAAGAGGAGGGAGGAAATAGCACTTAGACTTATATACCACTTCATAGTGCTTCACAGCCCTCTCTAAGTGTTTTACATTTATATTTCCTCCCCCAAAAATTGGGTCATCATTTTACCAACCTCGGAAGGATGAACTGGTGAGTCAACCTTGAGCTGCTCTGAATCGAACTCTGAATTGAGTTAGCCTGCAGTACTGCACAACCATAGTTACTGAAAATATGTATTTTAGTGTTTATGTATTATTTGTGCTAAAATAGAGTTCTGGCGAATGTGACGTTGTAAGTGCATTTTTTTCTTATCATATTCTTTTTATTGCTTTCCTAGCTCTGTACTGGCCACTTGTTTGCTCTTGTTGATCCCAATTTTGGTATTTATTTATTTCTCTTTTTCCTTGTTTTAAAAGGAAGTGTCCAGCGAGAGGAAACTGTCAGTGGAAGCCAGGTCCTATTCTTCCAGCACTACTTCCCTTTCCTTCCCTCCCAATTTGCCTCCTGTGCTCCCCTTCTATCCCCAGCACTCTTCATCTGAACTGCAGCACTTCTCCCATGATGCTCCAGTGACTAGTATGGTGGGCAAGATGCATAGACAATCAGGTAAATTATTGGGTTTTTTTAAAAAAAATATTTCTAATCATTTTTAAAAATACAAGAAAAAAGAGTGAACAAACAACAAAAAGAGAAATTTCAAATTGTTAAAAATTAATAAAATTGCTAAAGAATTAATACTTGGGGTATTTACCAATCCTGGAAAACAATAATCAAATAGCACACATGTGAGCACTATAAATGAACAAGTCAATGACTAGAAGTGAGCATGGGTTTATTAAAACAGATCATGCCTTATTGCCTTCTGTGATACAGTAATTAAATTAGTGATCAGGGAAATGCTGCATAATTTACTTGGATTTCTGCAAGGCATTTGACAAAGTAGACCCCAAACTACTTGGTAAGATAGAACAGTGTGGGATAGACAGCACAACAACCAGATGGGTTCGTAACTGACTGACCATTGAGCATGCAATGGAACTACATCTTCATGGAGAGAAGCATGCAGTTGGGTACCTCAAGATTCTGTCTTTGGCCCAGTACTCTGCAACATCTTTATAAATGATTTAGGTGAGGGAATAAAAGCGGAATTCGTCAAATTTGCAATGACATCCTAGGAGGAATTGCTTACACTTTAGATGATAGACTCAAGATTCAGAAGGTCCTTGAGAGACTTGAACATTGGGTCCTATTCAACAAAATACAATTCATTGTTGAGAAAAACAAGGTCCTTATACATAGGCAAAATATCCCAAATGCACAGATACCGAACAGAAGGAGTGTCAGGTGCAGAGTGAAGGGGTGACACAGTTTCAGGTTTCAACAACACAGGATAAATACATTTAAGATTCTTAGGCAATCCCAGTTATACAGTGACTGGGTTAATTACTTTAACAATTGGGAATGGACCCACATATTTAGGACCCAATTTCTTAGATGGTTGGGTGGACTGTAAGTATTTCGTGGAGAGGTAAACACTATCACCTACTTTGAAATCTTTTGGCTTCATGTGTTTTTGTCAGCTTGTTTCTTATGTGCTTGATGTGCCTCCTTCAGTGTCTTACGGGCAAAGAGAGGGGGGAAAGAGAGAGAGAAAGAAAGGGGGAGAGAAAGAAAGAGAGAGAGAAAGACAAGGGACCCAGAGACAGATTGACAAAGAGACTATGTTACTGGTTGGGAGTTAGTGATGTCGAGTTGGCCACGCCCAACCAGGTTTTGTGGCTCCCCATATTTTCTTTTCTGTGGGAAAGTGTCCAAATGGCTCTTTGAGTGTTTAAAGTTGTAGACCCCTGTCTAGACCCTCAAGAAAATAGCTCAGTACTGATTGGAACAGACTGTAGAAGCTGATAATTAAATTCAAGAATAAAGTATGTAATGTCCCTTATTGCACCTTTCCAGACTTTCATTAGAAAAGTTTCTCAAAGCAAATGATTTTGTCAGCTGTAGTTCTTCTGTTATGAGTAGTCTAGAATTAATTTCTTGTCGTAGGATTGGTATTAAGTATGCAAAGACTCAAACTCCTTTCCTGATATGTATTTTTGTTGCTCTTCAACTAAGGATAGGTAAAATAATATTTTTCAATTTGTTCATTTTTCAGGAAATTGGAAGAATATCCAAAAGTGTCTAACTGTGCCAGACAGGAATGCAGCTTTCCACACAGAAGATAAATCATGCCTGCCACTGAATTATGGGAACGCCATTTTCAAACAGAACCGGTCCTCTCAAGGGCAAACACCTTTTAATATATCTTTAGACAGTGGAACATCAAATGCTTCTAACCACTGGCTACAGAGAAGTCATGCTGGCCAAGAGCTAGCAACAGCATCAGATAGCGAAGCAGCGCATGGGGAATCTCCCACCCAGATGAGTGAGGACTCACAAGAGCCTCTGCCCCAATGGCCATTCCCTCAGGAAAAGGACAAGGCTGGTGCTCTTGGCTGGAGGAAGTCTCCTGGCAGGGGTTATGGGACAGTCTCACATGGGACTTTAGGACACAAAGGCTTTCAGAGTGGCTTCCTGGTTTCTCAGCAAGCCAAGGCCCGAAGCCCAAAACGTGTTGATATGCCCCCAGATGAAGACTGGCGACAGCACACCTTTGCTCCACAGCCTGCCACAAGAAGCTTCTTCGTCCACTCTGGAAATGCCCTGTAAAACCCTGGCTTGTGCAGCAGTTGCCTCCATGCACAGCCATGACTGGTGAGATGGCACCCTTCTGTTGGGCTGTTCCTTTTGAAAGAGGCTCTTGTCTGAACTGAAGATACTGAAATGCAATTGATATAAGATAGCAAGATTTTTTTTCCAACCAGTTGTTGCTAGTTTTGTCTTTGAAATAGTTATATCGTTGCCGAAAACTAACTGCACTTTATTTCTTTGTATGTACTGCTGTTTTATAAGAACCTTGTCAGCAATTCCATTCCTAACCTTTTGCTATAGAAATGGTTTAAGGCTCATTTGCAGTAGAAGAGAGGGCAAGATTTGCATTTGGACTAAAATTAAATCCTCTGATGTTTCTATAGGCTGTATTTGGTGAATTTATGTATCATGTTAAGTAGCACTAGAAAGCCTATGTGCCAACTTCCAATTCAGTGTTATGTTCTTCTGCTTCATTATATGCTGGGGGGAGAGGGGGGAGATTTCAGACCTTTCTACATGTTCATAATTTAATAAGATATAGGCACAGATAACTCCTATAGGGGCTAGAGAGGGAGTGGTGAGAAGATATGGCGCTAGCCCATTTCTCATTTTTTTCAAAGTAGACTACTAGGATTTGAAGTAGCACGTTTAATAAACACAGAATCACTGTAACTATTTTAGGCTCTGACATACTTGCCTTTGTAAGTTTTTTCAAAGAAATAAATGAAATAGTTATGTTTATTGAATTATTATTAATTGCTTTCTTATTTTCAGAAATGTGTTTCCCAAATTCTTTCACTGTTCATTTTTTCTCGTTTGTGATATTAAATATTTTATGTGTGTTTTATAAGATTATGATTTACAATAAAACTGTCAGGGTTCCAAATCAGCATCCATTCTGATTAAATCAGAATCCAAGGCAAATGATTCCTCAAAGTTCCAATTTATTAAGAGAGCCATGTTGGCACATCTGGGAAAACCTGAATCTGAAGGCTTCCCAGTTTTCCCACACAGTTGAAAGATCTTGCCCCCACACTCACAAGTCCCATCGCATGGTCCAATCTTCCACTGCCATGCTGTCAGCTTCCACCCATCCAGTTCTGGTCAGGTGCAGAGGTGCAGAGACAAAGGATGACCTTTGCTTTCTAGAAAGAATTTTGTTATGGCTACATATCATCTAACTCCCTACAATCCCCCTCCAATTTTCCCGCAATAGAAAATGCATAGTAGAATAAAACAAAGTGTGGCAGACCTGAGGTCCAAAAGAAAAGATGGCTG